AAGCGCCTACCCAAGATCCACTTGAACGCGCCACCCTGCGGCCAGGGGAACTCAGTACTCGACACCCCTCGAGCAATATAACACACTAACTATGCAACACTTGAACTCGCTTCATGATCACTCGAAAGCAGCTGTCGCAACCCACAAAGGAGACCCGCAGACACTCTTGGGCAGGGCTGGACGTGGTCAACATGAGCTCTGGCTTCTCCAGAGGCCACTGCTGCCCGCGACAACAACTCCGGGTTTTGTACACAATAAAACTCTCATTCTGGTGACTGCTACATGTGCACCGTTGCTGTTGTGTCCTTTTATGCCTCAAGTTTGATTCGTTCGTCTTTTGAGAGAAGCCTCGGCCTAAGATGGTTGTCTACAGTGTGGTTAGATTATCTAATATAAGCGCAAGTTTGTGTATGACCTCGGGGTTACCGCGGGTCAGCAGGTTTCTTCAAGTTTCTCCGACGTAGTTGTGGTCCAAGTTATTGCAACCTATCTGTTAGACGGTCGACGAAGTTAAAGTAGGGGCAATCCGTTCTTAGATTGAATCACATGGTGACAAACGGTTGCTTGGAGACGATGAGATATGCCTACTCCTGCGGGTTACAAGAATTCATTTTTGGCACTCAAAGCTCTGAAAATGGAGGGCCGATTGGGTTCTTAGAAAGGACAGCAACAAGACAAATTTCTTTTAACCTACTCTTCAATCTTCTGCAGAAAAAAACTCTTCCTACAACTCTGGCCTTCCCATGACTTCTCACTTCTTCTTACGAACTTGGCCTAGAAGATGGCAGCCGTTAGGGTTAAATCTTCTTAGGTTAAACCACCTCGATAGCTGGTAACCCACGACATGAGATGAACCCTCAACTTCTGATGTGGCCGAGCTCAATCATCATCAGACCTCCCTGGCCTTCAATTGAAATTTTCGCGTGTCATCTTGTGTGACCACGAAATGGAGACTTTCATCACCAACATCGTGTCATGAAGCAAGATGAAGAACGTCAATCGGTCACAGCCCCTCGGCCCCGGGTCATGTTTTCTTTCCCCATCCCGCGAAGCAGTTCCCGCTATGAGTGCCAGCACCCAGACCTTCTTTCCAAACCCTGATCCTACTTCTACTGCCAACGGTATCCCTTCCTCCTCTCAGCGATCAGTAACATAACATATTGATTTGCCGTCGAAGTTCAACGCAGCCAACCAGGCTCCCTCCCAAAGAGTCTAGATGACCAATCTCCTACAACATGCCGATGCACGCGTAGTCGAAAACTTTCGTCCTACCGACAC